ACAATTTGAACAGGCTTAACACCAGGTGTTGGCGCAGTATCAGAAGGCTTCTTCTAACAAAGAAGTGAAGAGTTTTAATAAGGTCCCAGAGCGTTTAACCTGAGTTTACAGGTAGCATGCCAAGACTTCACCTTGAGATTCATCCTTTTCATCCTTATCATTTCACCCACATGGATCATAAGCATTACAGGATACGGAGGGTTTTGTTGTTGTTGATGGGTTTTTGTTTTGCTTTGTTTTTTAAACAGACTACATTCTCATTTGTATAAGAATGTTCTTTGGTTCCTCGTAATGGGGCAGAGAAGCAGTTCTTCAATCAGCTGTTGTTACTTTGGGCAAGTCACCTGTCTTGACATTGCCATATGTGCCCACCTCTGCTCTACCAGGCATTCTCGTGTGGCCTTAGCCCACACTATCAATCTCGCCTGTCCCGGGCTAGCAAGTGGACCCCAAAGACTAGCCTGGCTGATGTCTGTGGATCCCCTTAACTCTCCTGCCACGACTTCGAATGGTACCTCAGTGGAGGGGTTCCCCTTCAAGGCAGCCTCCAGGGTCGTCACGCCTCTTGGTGGGCACTCACGGGGCTCCGACCTCCCCTACACCCCGGCCACTCGCCACCTTCAGTCTCAGGTCTTCTGGCCCTTTGGCACCCCTGGTTCCATTCAGCTTCTTTCCCAGCCTCCCGTGGCCCTCCAGCCTCGAGTCCTAGTGTCCCTGGGTCGCGGCGCAACCGTGAAAACTTCAAGGCCCTTGGACCTAGATCCGACTAACCCGTATCCCTAGTGCCCTATTCCAACCACCCTGTGACATAACGTGCAATCCCCACTACTGTGACTGCTGAAGAGATGCGACCGGTGGACCTGGAGGCCACAAAGGAATAAAGAGTGCCCTTAGCCTATGGGCCCCGTGTTTTCCCTGTGCCTAGGTACCCCAGACCCAGTTGCTTGCCCCACTTGGGTATGGCGTCCCAGCTGACTCTTCTTGGGATGTTGTGGACCCGTCCGCCGCTTAACCGTCCCTGCTTGGGGTCTTCTGCCGCACCCCACGGCTATCCCCGTTGGGGTTCATGTTGGCCCCGCCCTTGTTACCTCCGCTCCGGGCTTCCCTGTAGTTGCTCTTGCCTCCTCAGCTCTCGTCTCTTCCTTTGCTCTTGCCCCTCCCTGCTACTCCCCTTGTCGGCTTCCCTGCCGGCTTGCCAGTTGGTGCCTCCTCCGGTTCTATAACTGGCTTCACTGCCTCTGCCTCCATCGGCCTCGCTGTCAGTGCTGCTGCTGGCTCCGCTGCCGGCTTCTCTGCCGGTGCCTCCACAGGCTTCGCTATCGGTGCTGCTGCAGGCTCTGCTGCCAGCTTTTCTGCCGCTGCCTCCGCCGGCTCCACCACCGGTGCTGCCGCCAGTGCCTCCGCCGGTGCCTCCACTGGCTTCTCTGTCGGCTCCACCCCCACCCCACTGGCTTCTCCACAGGCTCCCCCCCCACCGTCCCGGGCTGCCCGACGCAGCGGCTGTGTCCCTCGGGATGTGAGCTTCCCCATTGAGCCTCCGCTCACCAGTCGCCTTCCTGTACCTCCAGGGCCACCTTTTGTTTCCACCGGGTGGTGTCTCCAGCTGACGTCACCCGGCCCCAGCTGAATATGAACGCGGCTGATGAGCCACGTGGGCGGTTTCTCTGCCCATGCCTTCTCACTCCTTTCGGCCCCTGCAGACGGTAAGTTGGGGCTTTCTTTTATTTTGGGTTGGGGTTCTCCTGCAACCCCAGAACCCCTGGGACACCTTAGTTTTCTCATTTGTAAATGAGGATACTTTTCTTTGGTAAAGCCTTATGGAAAAGGATGCACTTTCACTATGACACCATATGGGTATCTGTCAGGGTTCAAGTTGTTCAAAATTCACCAAACGTTTTTTGGCTAACTCTGAACACCATCTACAGAGTCAAGTGTGGAGCCAGGAGAGGAACGCACAGCTTTTGACCTATGGTCTATTGCTTTACCTGCTAAACAATCCTTTCCTCCACATTGCAAATATATAAAGCTGAACACAAAAATGAATCAATACTATGGACACATGTATAATATAATTTAATTGATCACCTGCATTGAAAACTCATTTTGTGTTGGGGTTTTTTTCTTCCTAAGGAAAGAATTTGCCTAATAAAAGGCAGCACATGTAACTATATTTAGGTCCTGCCTTATTCAGTTTAAGGCGTGATATACATGAGCCACAAAATTATCCCACATCATATGTAGAATAACTTTTTGGCTCATTTACTGCATTATCACACCTTAACTTGGTTTCCTTCTGTGGCCGGGTTACTATTTAAGGCACTGTTAATCGCCTCTTCAATGTAACATATGTTTTGGGCGCCTTAGATGCATAAAACATCATAATTAAGGCTGTTATGCCAGACACTTAAATTGGAAAATTCTAGCATTAAGGTTGTATAAATAACTTGAATTCGCTTCCTTGTTCACTTATATTATGATGCAGCCTTCAATCATATCACCTGATACTTTTACCCCTTCTTTTTTCTGTTCACATAGGGTACCTATACACATGCTGGTTCACGTACTAATTAGAATGCATCAGAGCAGATTTGTTTAATCAAGTCCACTCTCTGTTCTTATTAGAACGCTCCAGAATCACCTCACTGCCACGTATATTAAGCCCCACACCTTTTAAAATGGATACAGGGGCACTTTAGCTAAACCTCGTTGAATGAGGTTTAGCTAAAGCATCCTGCAGCCATTTTTAAATGCGCAGGGGCTTAATACATGTGATGGTAAGGTGTTTTACTTAGAGTAGGTCTCTGGGAACTGCTCTAATTAAAATGTGCTGCCACCCCAAGCATGTGAATAGGCACCCATAATAGTTAGCATTCACAAAAATGAGCAGTACTTCTTTCTCATTTTTTCCTCATTATTTAATGTTGGGTTTTCCAAGTTCTGAGTGGTTTTGGATGACACTTCACCGTAAATGCCTCTCCTACAGGTGCATCTCCTCCCCCTGCCCCCTCACACACACACCCATTACCTCCTGTTGAAGCTGTATTGCACTGTCCCCAGGGGAGTGGCAGAAAGTAGATGCAGGAGGAGGCCCCAGAAACCCCAGATACCTGGGGTGGAAGGGTGGGGATGGCAGCAGAACAGGCAATGAAAGGAGGTGATGCCAGCTGGTGGGATTGGTGCCTAGACCTATTAGGAACCACACAAGGAACCAGGTTGTAAGGGCAATTTGAGTCTTGGGCCACAGTTTAAATACTTGGGTGCCAATTGTACAGTCCTGATTTAATGCATCCCTTATTTGCAGCATGCTATTCTAATCCTACTCTATGGACAAAATTATACATGTTTCCCATGAACGTCTGTGGTGCTTTTCACAGTAGGTGGAGAGTTACACAAGTGTTAGTTATTGGATATCATACTCCCAATGTAACATACTGGGACCATATGCAAAGAGAAATTAAAGTTAAAAAAAGCACCCATTTATTTTTGTGCCCAATTTGAATTTAAAAAAAAGCCAAACTTTCTGAGTATTTAATATTAGATACTATATTTTATGTTACAAACAGAGTTTCATTGATTTCAGTTGCATCTATGAAGGCTCAGCTCTTCTGGAACCCCCATGAATTACTTACTACACACTTTCCAACCTCAGCAATATAAATATAGGGGAGATTCCATTTATTAGGAAAAAAAGACTGTGTTGTTTTCTGTCCTTTATGCTTTATGCTCTAAGGAGGCCAATCTTTTTGGGATGCATTTTAAACCCTGAAACTTCTCTGAGTGCCACTTCAGTCCCTTTCCTGTCTGATCTGCTTTCTGCTTCTTGCTCCCTCCCTGATCTGTTGTTATGTACAGAGGCCTCCTGAGCCACTTGACATGCATGCTGCAAGGCTGACCGCCCCTGCTCTAATGAAACCTTTTCTCTATGACATTTGCATGTTTTGAAATGTTCCATTTACCCTCATGATAGCCATGAATGTAACTGGTCTTTCTGGTCTTTTGATCCCTGGGTGGAGCAACAGAAACATCCTCTGTTTAGTTTTGAGAAGGTATAGCATACAGAAGCATTTGCTTTTACAGCTATGTGGTAGTACAATTGTCATTGTGATTACAAAGGAGTTTGAACTTAGTTCTTGACTGTTTGAAATAGTCCTTGACTATTATAGAAGCATATTTTTTTTCTATTAGAGGTGTGATATAAAACGTAAGTTCTAAACATTTGTAATTATTAAAGAACTCATGACACTTTTAAAAATGTAATGGCATCAAGCTAATTAAATTAATTGCTTTGACAATTTTTTGTGCTATCCAGATTGGTCTTTGAACTCTAGCAACTGAGAGTATAAATGGTGCACCATATAAAGAACACTTCTCCAGCAGAAATTCATTAGAGTTGAAATCTAATAACCATTAATTATGATCTACTTAAAAAGTGAATGTGCCCCCTGCAGAGAAACTGAATAGTCTTTTTGGGTCAGCTACTCCTATAATAGTTTCTTGGAAAAAAACACAGGCCTGCTGAAAGCCTACAAGAAGCTGCAGTTCTTTATGTTTATTATGTTTATTATAACAATATTACAGTTTATTTATGCAATAAATAAAATAATTTATTTTACTTAATTTTCAGAAGTTCTCAATTGTTTGAGGTAGGGCAATAGAATTGAGAGATTTGGTATTTTGATCAGTCATGTAAAGAAATAGGGTACATTAAAATCTTGCCTAGAGCCCAGACTACCTATCTAGTACTTTTTCATGCTAGACTATATAATTCATATTTCACAAACTTTTGTGTAAACTCTGTGGCAGTATCCTAAAGATATTAACTTTTTAAACTGTAATAAATAACTGTAAAGCAATTGAAAATCCCTAACTTTATACAGTTTCAGTTCATTGCCCCAAAGCAGTCTTAAAATGATGTATTAAATGATGATTAGAAACAATTAATTATCCTACATAACTCTAAGAGCTCAAATGTAATTTCATGGTTATAATTTTCTTGTCAGGTAATAAAACGGGATGAACTTGGCAAGGAGCTGTCTGACTGCTCTCTGTTCGATCTGTTGAAATATGATGATTATAACAGTGACAAGCACCTAGCTCTGGAAGAATTCTACAGAGCATTTCGTAAGTACAAGAATTAGTCTATTATCCTCTTAGTTTTCCTTTCTGTATTTTGCTCTGTCTTTAAAAAAAATTCTAATTTGAAATGTCATGATATGGTTCTTTTAACAGTGAGCATAACTTGACTGTTAGGATGTAGTGGAGCACTTCCAGGTGGAAATCAGTACAAGGTGCATGCGTGCTCAGGTCTTAAGTGTGACATCACTACTCCAGCACTGTAGATGATTTGACTTATTTGGGCATGTATTTATTCATTAGTATGTTCAAGTGAGAGCTGCTGTAATCAGGGTGTTACAAGTGAAACTATATTAGCTAAATCTTCACTTCTTTATTGTCATTACTACCAGCCTTAAAACAAGTTTGGCTGTTTTCACACTCCTCTGCCCTGGCTGCATTTGTTCAATGGAGTTTTTTAACAGACTCTGCACAGGACTCATGACAAGATAACATGTTAAAGAAGGCTATTTTCTGACATCTTGGAAAGTTATCACATTTTCAGGATGAGGGTACTGGCAGAAATGGCAGCAAGGGTGATGAGGGGTTAGGGTACCCAGTCAAGATTTGATGTCTTGATTACAGAAGCAAAAACTCCTCCCCTATGTAGGTACTAGGAAAAGATCAGAGGCTGAGTTTTTGCATATTCTTCTGTCACAGTAAATAAATAAATAAATAAAGGCAGTGAACTTAAAATGACAAATATGTAATGTAACCAGGATGCAATAAATGTAAAGGTTAGAAACTCAAACTCAAATGTCACTTGTCCTCTCTCTCCTATTTGCTTCTAAAGAGCGATTGTAGCTTGGCTCTTTTAAAGGTTGGCTTTATTTATTTTTCTTTTAATGCAAAGTGAAAGCAAGAAAATGAGAGATTCCTTATGGGCCCTCCTGGAGAAACCATGTAGCCACAGAGTACCCAAATCCTGGGCACCAGCAACAGCTGCTTAGAATTTGCCACTCTAGTGGAACTGGTCTTGGCCACTGGGGATGACCTGGTGAGGGGACTGCAGGTCCTTGACCACCTGGGTGACAGTGATCATCGCCTGCTGGAATTCACCATCCAGCTCAGGGTGTTGAGGGCTTATACCAAGACTAAAGCCCTTGACTTCAGAAGGGCCAACTTCAACGAATTTAGGAGATTACTAGTGGAGGCACGGAGGGCCCAAAAGGTAGAGGATATGGGAGTCCATGAGGGATGGTCGTACCTTAAGGAGACGATCCTCCAGGCTCAGAGTGTGACAGTCCCCCAGAGAAAGAAGGGGGGTAAGAGTGCTCTGAAACCCCCTTGGCTCAGCAAAGGCATTCAAGAATGCCTGAGGGCCAAAAGGGAGGCGTACACCCAGTGGAAGGGAGGGGCCCGTGAGTGTAGGAGGGCTATTAGGAAGGCCAAGGTGGGGGTGGAGCTCAGGCTAGTGACCAGGATTAAGGACAAGAAAAAGTCCTTCTTCAAATACATTGGGAGTAAGAAGAGGGCACCGGGTAATGTAGGACCCCTGCTAGACTCAAGTGTTAATCTTGTGGCTATGCCAGATGAGAGAGCCAAAATTTTTAACAAGTTCTTTGCCTCTGGCTTCTTGGACAGGGACCAGGACAGCTCTCCTACCACAGGTAGGGGCAATCTTGGGGATAGCACTGCCAGGCCTTGGGTCTGTGCAGATGTAGTAAGGGATCTTCTGGAAGGGCTGGATGTTTTTAAATCTGCGGGCCCCGATGCCCTCCACCCATGGGTGTTGAGAGAGCTGGCAGGGGTAATTGCTGTGCCTTTGGCCCAGCTGTATGAGCAATTGTGGTCTACGGGCCAGGTGCCCAGAGATTGGAAACTAGCTAAAGTGGTCCCCATTTATAAGAAAGGGAGAAAGGAGGACCCAGGAAACTATTGGCCCATAAGCCTCACATCGGTCTTGGGGAAAATCCTTGAAATAATTATCAAGGATCACATCTGTGAGGGGCCAGCAGGGGAGATCATGCCCAGGGGAAATCAACATGGGTTCATCAAAGGCAGGTCTTGCCAGACCAACCTGATGGCCTTTTATGACCAGGTAACTAAATCCCTGGATGATGGTGTTGCTGTGGACATAGTCTTTCTGGACTTTAAGAAGGCCTTTGACACTGTCTCTCAACCCATTCTCATTAATAAACTGAGTGACTGTGGCATTGATGCTTACACAGTTGGATGGGTCAAAAATTGGCTGATGGGGTGCGAGGGGGTGGAAAACAACTTGTCCAAGTTTGCTGATGACACCAAGATTTGGGGAGAGGTAGGCACGCTCGAAGGGAGAGAGAGGCTGCAATTAGATTTAGACAGACTACAGAAGTGGGTGGATGGTAATAGGATGGGGTTCAATGTATATAAATGCAGGGTGCTGCACCTTGGGAGAAGTAATCCACAGCATATATACAGGCTGGGGAGCTGCCCCCTTGTGACCACAGAGGCGGAAAGGGATCTTGGAGTCATTACTGACTCCAAGATGAACATGAGCCATCAATTCCAGACTGCAGCCAGCAAAGCCAACCACACCCTGTCATGCATCCAAAGATGCATCTCAAGCCAGTCCAGAGAGGTGATACTCCCCCTCTGTGCGACATTGGTCAGCCCACAATTAGAGTACTGCATCCAGTTCTGGGCACTGCACTTTAAGAAGGATGTGGCCTGCCTTGAGAGGGTTCAGAGGAGGGCCATCCGCTTGGTTGGAGGGCAACAGGGAAGGCCCTATGAGGAGAGGCTGAGGGACCTGAACCTGTTCAGCCTCAGCAAGCAGGGGCTGAGGGGGGATTTGGTGGCTGCCTACAAACTCATTAGGGGAGATCAGCAGCAAATAGGAAGGGCCCTATTCCCCCCAGCAACACCTGGGGTAATGAGGAACAATGGCCAGAAGCTGCTGGAGAATAGGTTCAGGTTAGAGATTAGGAGGCACTATTTCACTGTTAGAGAGGCTAGGATCTGGAACCAACTTCCTAGGGAAGTGGCCCTCTCTCCTACCTTGGGTAAATTCAAAAAGAAGTTGGACAAACACCTGCCTGGGGTCATGTGATCCCAGCGTGTGCTCCTGCCAGTGGTGGGGGGCCAGACTACATGATCTGTTCAGGTCTCTTATGACCCCAAATTACTATGAAACCCATGATTTAACCCATGATTAGCCAGAGAACAATTTGATGTCTCAGTTTGATATCTTTTCCCATCTGTCAAAATAGGAACTTGATAGAATGCAATGGATTGTGACTTTTTAAATGTGTTTAAATATGGATATCTGTCTGCTAAGAACATGCCTGAGATCAACAACTTAACATGCTGTATAGCACTAGATTTCTGCAAATCAGTAGTGATGTGGTTAACTCCCTCTTGCTAAGTAAAAAGTGTAAATAACTCTAGGCAAAGTGTTGGCCTCAAAAATTACAACAGCAATGAGGCAAGGATTTAACTCTCTATATTCTCTTGTTTGTCCCCTAGTATTCTGTGTAGTGCCCTTGTTGATATAATTATGATCTGGGTACAATATTTTCAAAAAATAACATTTTCTAAAAAGTTTTCTCAGGCTACAGAAAGACTACAAGCATCACAAGTACCCACTCATGCTGAGCTACTTAAATATTTTAAGTGGTTTTGTGGTGTGTTACTTGCACTATAAACTCTTAATTGAAGAGTAACATTTTTAAAATGTTTTTATAGTGCTTAGAATATGAGGTCATGATTTAGAGCAATATTCCTCAGGCTACCATGATACAAGTAATAATAAACAATAGCACTCTTTTCTGTTTACCTGTTATAACAAAAGGAGTCTTATGTTAGGTAAGACACCTTTTAAATCTACTCTGGAAGGTGATTGTCCTTGTAAGCTCCATTACTGTTTTTAAAGAGTATTTGTGTACAGAAAACATTGAACAATAAAAGCTACTGGTTCCCTTGTTTGTATATATGAGGCCAAATAGGAAGGCAGAATAAGAATTATGATTGTGTTTATGATTTGTTAATTCATGTATAAAAAAACCCTCAAATAAGCCATTCTTGAGATGTAGCCAATTCCCTTTACTTATTGCATAATAAAAAGGACACAGGCCACAGACAGAGATTTCTTTCTACTGATAAGAATTTTTCTGAATGTCACTCTGCCCTTAGGGGAGTCCATTACCTGATAGTCATTCTCTTCACTACCTGGAAATGGGACAGCCTGTCAATAAGCAGTCCCCTGCTTTTAAATTGCCTCATGTGCAGATGGTCTGCTATGGGGTAATTAAAGGCTAGAGGCATGGGAAAACAGGCCTGGGGACACAGCTTCTCTGCCCCAGGTTTTGTCTTCCTGGATTTTAAATCGTGGCATTTACAACATACAGGACCATGAACTGGGGAATGTGGCGGGGAGGGAAGAGGGAAGGGATGCCATTTAAAAATCATGGGTGCCTCCACACATGCAGGCATGTGCGCTTGCAGCAGCTCAAATAGGAGCAGCACACATTTCAGCTGGGGAGTTTTGCCTCAGCACTCATGCCTGGACATGCACTTTGATGTGGGGCCAGTTGTACCACTTGGGGAAAAATAACCCTGCCCAGCTCCTCCCAGATCTGCAGCCAGGGGGAGCTAGAGCCTAGGACCAGTACTTGTGCTGGCCCCAGAAATATAATAACTTGCCCTTGCAAGAACCTCAGAGCTACTTGCCCTCAGGAGCTTCTGAGGCCTGGCCACTTGGTATCTGGGGACACAACCCCTTGTGCCAGGTGGACTGCTGAAGCAGCCCTAACGTGGAGTGGTCCCTTACTCTCTACCCACTGCAGCAGTTTGGCAGTGGGGGCTGCTGCCTGGCTGCAACTTGCTGCCACCTGAGACATCATCCGCCCCCTTGGACCTGCGAACCCAAGGCTGCACTCCACTTTGAACTGCCAAAGTGTGTCAAACTGATTTGAGATGCTGCAAGAGGTACATGTGCGCTCGTCTGGACATGCCCCATGAACTGGGGCAGGATAGCTTTCCCCTAGCCCTGCAGGCTTTGCTAACTCCACCTGCAGCAAAATGGC